ACGAATGAGCCCATAAATGAACCCCCAGCGTGAACCCTCAGAGTGTTGGTCGATGAACTGAACAGTGTGGATCAAAACCAGGCCCAAAATAACTAAAATGGCATTGCCCTCATATGTGGGAGAGCTTGATTTTTTGAGGTGCGTTCCTTAGGTTCCTGGTATGCTTTCATTGTACCAGCGATGCAAGTGAACTATTGACCGGAACAAATTGTAGCTCCTCCATTCATAACACATGCTATGTGGATGAAATGCACTACGTAAGGAAAGCTGAAAGAACATGGGCGCAAGTGTGTCGAGCGGGCAAGAGACCAACAGCCCCCACCAATACGCAAAGCGCCGAGCATGTGCGGCGTGGATGAAACAAAAACCATATAGCTGGTAACTCCACGTCGCCCACCCCCTCTGCAGAACACGTGCTGTGTGATGCAGTAGACAAGACAAGAGCGCAACACCTCCGCCGCGGAACATACAAAGCGTGGGCTGTGTTGTAGAAACAAATCCAGAGAATCATGAGGGCATATCCTTATTCAGAAAAGTGCTGAGTGGGAAGACCATGGAGGGCGCACAGGCGATCTATTGATTGGGCACTCGAACAGCAGACACCCGCAACGCCCCATCCGAACCAACAACCATGCGAGCATGAGTTGCCTACATGTACCCCACTCCCCTGCGAAGAAAAAAACAACAAAACGGCGTGCTTTGTTTCGGGGTGGATGTCATTCGAACAGTGCAGGGGGCATCAAGTGACTGATCCTGTGCTGGGTTTGCCAAAGGAGAGTTTGCTTTGGTGGTTGCGTGGAGCTCTTTTTTTTCTTTTTGCGTTAGCCAGCTTCTGCGGCTTGGGGGCGCTCGCGATTTTTCGGTGGCAGGGTTGAACCAATCCTTCTTATCCTTGACCGAAACAATTTGGATGTCATGGACAGCATCTTACATGCGCCAACTGTCGAGCTGGAGTTCTTAAGCTTGTAAACTTCTGACTGCCAGAGCGCTTCCGGTCACAACCACTTGGGTGTGGAGGGGCAAACCGCAGGTTTTGGTTCCTTTTTTGCACTTCCCAGGGTTCCATTTGGGGTACCGCTTTTTTGAGCCACAGCCACTTCCGACTTCATGCGTTCCGCCGCCACTTCCGAGCGCCAGGGCCTTGGCGCTGGTGCTGCACTCGCTCTGCTCGCTGCAGGAGCTGCCGCTGCCGGCGGCGGCGCATTGGCTGTGGGATGTGGTGGAGGGCTCCTCCACGCCGTGGCTCTGCTCCCGGCCGCCGCCCGAGGCGGGGTTTGGGGGGGGGCTTTGCCGGTTTTTGGAGTGGGGAGGTTTGGGAGACACACCTGGGTGTGGGTGAAAATGAAACCAGATGGACCCTGCAGGGTTTGAGTAGAAATGGTTTGAGTGGACACACATAGGACCTGGGTGGAAATGAAACCAGATGAACCGGCAGGGTTTGAGTCAATTTTCCAAAAATGCCAGGGCAAGCCATGTCGGGTAATTTGGATACTGCGTGTCAAATGCCGAGCCTGTGGAGTTTGTTTGAGCCTTTGCAACCGGGTTCTGCGTGTCTTTTTGTTGCGGTTGCAAAATGCAAATCTCTTTCAGGCCAAGAGCCTGGAGCCGCTGAGGGCCTGGTTGAAGCCCCCCGGCAGTCGGGGGGATCGAAGCCTTCAGAGAAATGGCTGTGGCTCAAAAACATGAACCAAAATGGCACCTCAGTAAATGGAACCAAAGACGAACACCTGCGTAACTCTAGCCCTTGAATTTTGAGCCACACCCAAATGTCTGTGGCTATGCCATGGGTCGAGGCTTGGCTTGGCTCGGGAGTTCGATGCTTCCAGCTATTGACCCGCAAACGTCTGTGGCGGGTGTCGTTGATGTTGCAGATGGTGGAGCAACATGAAATGTGTGGCTTTGCTTGCTTGCTTGCTTGCTTGGCCTGACTTATCACCCCAACAAAGCTTCAATGGCGATGTCATAGGGCGCGATCGGAACTTATTGCCAACCAACTTCTGCAAGCAGTGCATTGGGCCGTGCCGGCTTGGACAGTCAACTTGATGGTGATTCGGAGTTTCAGGGCTCCAAGCAAATCCAATGTGCTTTTTGCAAGGACCAGGGTGATTGCAACGTTATTGGCCAGCAGACAGTAGCATTGCCCTTTCAATCGTGCCAACTGTTCGCTGTCACGAAAGCTGTCATGCAGCGGACAAAAATGTTTGTAAGAGAATCACACCTGAGTCTTGACCACAATGGCAAGAAGCATATTGTACGATGGTCACATGAACATGTCCTTGCTGTTGTGTTTCCTGGTCCCCAGAAGCACGCGAAGCCATTCAAGACGAGGCATCGCCAGCCATCCCCAGCTTAACAATGGTGAATATCACGCCGACATGATTCTTTCTGAGCAGGGGCAGCCACGAGCAGGGTAAGCCCATTTTGAGACCTGCCCAAGAGGATTGTGTGAATCAAGCAAAGCACGATTTGCGAGATTTGGACATATGTGCATCCGTTGGCA